TAAATTTGGGAGGGCAATAGGGATTTCGCCTAGGGCGTCAAATTGGCTAGAAACGGCCCTGGTATTAGGAATCATGAACTAGCAGTGAAAAGCATTTTAACAGCATTTATTAATATAAATCAGTGTTAGTTTATAAATGTGCTGTACTATTGTTAATTGTTAATTAATAATTCATAGCTAATAATTCAAAGTTAATTAATACAACTTGTTAAAACAAATGTTAAAAATGTATTAGTATGCATTACCATTCAAAAGTTTGGGGTCGGTAAGATATTTTTTTTGTATATGAAAATAAAATGTATATTTCCGTTAAGCAAGAATCAAAAGTGATAGTAAAGGCATTTTGCTCACCAAGGCTGCATTTATTTAATATAAAATACAATATTGTTGAAATATTATTGCAATTCAAAACAACTTTTTCAAATTTTATATCTTTTAAAATGTAATTTATTCCTGCTGCAGCAAAGCCGATTTTTCAGTAGCCTCAATGTCTCAATGACTCAATGTCACATGATCCTAGAGAAATCATTGCTGCATATGCTGATTTGGTGCTCAAGAAGCATTTCTTATTATCTACTTAATTTAATTTTAGAAACTTTGTTGAACTAAGAGAAAGTTTAAAATAACATGTTTTATTTTAATTTTTTTTGTAACATCATAAATAAGCTTATATTAAAAACAGACAAAAATAAAATCTTGACAAACCCAAACGTTTGAATGGTAGTGTATGTAGAAATTAACATTAACCTAACTAGCCATTATAGGTTGCACTTTAAAAAAATATTATTCATAATTAGTTCATGATACTTTTAACCTTTACATTTTGTCTTATTGCAAAGTGTTACCAAAATATGTTTGTTTTACCCATTTCTCCATTCTTTAAATTCCTACTTTCAGTAAATGGGATGAGATTTCCCCTACTCAAAACCTCTGAATTTGCATTCGAATACTTTGTCTTGTGTTATTGCCCTGTGTATGTTAGATACAGTAGCAATACTTTATTGCAGATCATGGTACGTAATATATTATAACCCTTTAATGATTATTTACGAGATGACTTATGTTAATGTAAACATTTCTTCTGATTGTTTCGATTCATAATCATTGTCTCTTTTTTATGACAAAATGTCATTGTGCCATCTCATTCTGGGATCTAACCAGCAATAGAAACTCACATAGGGTCGCATATGATTTTTCTGTACACATACACTGAGCACATGATGATTTCTCTGATTGTAGTTATTTTTGTGACTGTTATACTGTTATGCATTTTGACATCATTCCATGTTTACAGCTCCTGTACCTTTTTTGTAATACTCTTGTGAATTGCCATGCATTTAGTGAAAGTGAGTGTGTAATGCCTTCATGACACAGCTGGCAGAAAACAACTTCACCAGACCAGCTGAACCAGCCTTAATGAAGTATTCCTGCTCTGACTCGTTCACTGCCGCGCTCCTGTCTCGAGACCCTTATGTTAATGTAAACATTTCTTCTGATTGTTTCGATTCATAATCATTGTCTCTTTTTTACGACAAAATGTCATTGTGCCATCTCATTCTGGGATCTAACCAGCAATAGAAACTCACATAGGGTCGCATATGATTTTTCTGTACACATACACTGAGCACATGATGATTTCTCTGATTGTAGTTATTTTTGTGACTGTTATACTGTTATGCATTTTGACATCATTCCATGTTTACAGCTCCTGTACCTTTTTTGTAATACTCTTGTGAATTGCCATGCATTTAGTGAAAGTGAGTGTGTAATGCCTTCATGACACAGCTGGCAGAAAACAACTTCACCAGACCACCTGAACCAGCCTTAATGAAGTATTCCTGCTCTGACTCGTTCACTGCCGCGCTCCTGTCTCGAGACGACAGCCATAGTTAAACTACTGTGAACCAGCGACGCTGAGATCCTACAGACATCTTCACTGTGTATCTTCATCATTATACATCTGTCTCATGCCTCAGGCTGGATATATTTATGCCTGTGCATCATGCAACTGAACTTGTACATGCATTAAGATTTTGCTAAACCACAATCTTAATCTTGTTTGAACAACAGTATGCTTTGAATGGCAATTTCAGCCTTGCTTTCTTGTTGTGTGATGCTTTTAAAGTGACATTTTCGTAATGTTTCCCAACAGTAGTATTGGGTTCTCTCAGTGTCAGTGCCTGTTGTTAATTGGGCTGTTGTGTTTTTCTTGATGCTGTGGCCATTTCTGAAGGTGCTTTTGTATTGAAAATATGACCTGCACAAGCTCTTCAGTCTGCCGCCTTATCTCTTTTTGCCTTTAAAAAATATTTCTAATATGAAGAGCATTCAGTGTCACTGTATTTGAGTGAATTTTCCACCTTCCTTTGTGCTGAAATTTCAGAGCTGGGTCCCAATGTACTGGGTTGTAGATGTTGTCTTTTTCCAACTAAATATAGATTTATTCTCAATCTTGTTGTCTTGTTTGTATATGTTCTCTGGTGAGTCCAGTCTAACATTTACATGTATTTATTTACTCTAGGGAACTAATATTAATAAATGCCGTAGACGTATTGTTCATTGTTAGTTCATGCTAAAGTAGTAAACTATATAAAACCATATGGAAAGTGTTACCAAAAAATGTATTTCAAATAAATGCTGTTCTTTTGAACGTTTAGTTAATCAGAAAATCCTGGGGAAAATATTGCATCACACTTTCCATAAAGATATTAAGCAGAACAACTGTTTTCAGCTTTGTTGACAATAAACAGAATGCTTCTTAAGTGCCAAATAAGCATATTAGAATGATTTCTAAAGAATCTTGTGGATGCTGAAAATTCAGCTTTACACTTACAGGAATAAATTATGTTTTAAAATATATTAAAATATAAAACTTAAAAAACTATAAAAAATTTTAATTGGCCTTGATGCAATATAATAACTGCAAAAAAGCTAGTTAGCAAAGTAGTCTTATATACAGTATATAGTGTGTATTTTGGCATATCAAGTTTATTTTTGTGTCATTATCAGGAGAGGATCATGTGTATTTAATGGCTGCCTCATGCTTTCCCTCAGCAGCCAGGTGTTCATGGTCTCACTATTCCCACTTGCTCTAATTTCTCTGATATTGTTAAATTTGGGTCTCCAGGTCAAAGCCCTGTTGTTATGCAATGATCCCAGTAGAGCTCATCTCATGCCTGCTACACTCAGAAACAGGTCAGGCTGTATTTACTGCCCTACATCGATGTAATCAGCGGAGCGTCTTGTCTATGATTGATGAACTGGCTTTGTGGTTGTGTCATTTTTAGTGATAAAGTTACCTGTCAGCTCGGTAGAAAAGCTCCAGGATAAACCCCGTAATCCTGTATGAGGGAAACAAGAAGCCGTTCAGTATATCATCTGTTATTTATGTTATTATTCAGCTATATACCAGAGCTTTGCGAGACCACAGGTGTCCATGCACACGCATGTGTCGTTGTACTCGACTGAACGTGTAGCGAAGACTGACGCAGAAGAGAAGAAATTGTTAAATAGTCTTTTTTTTTGTCTTTGCGCACAAAAAGTATTCTCGTAGCTTCATAATATTACATTTGAACCACTGATGTAACATGGACTATTTTAACAATGTCCTTATACTACCTTTATGGGCCTTGAACATGTCAGTTCCATTGCTGTCTATGCAGGGTCAGAAAGCTCTCAGTTTTCATCAAATATATCTTAATTAATGTTCTGAATATGAACAAAGGTCTTACGGTTTTGAACGACATGAGAGTGAGTGACATTTTTGGGTGAACTATCCCTTTAAATTGTCCTTCATGCTCTCCAGGTTTGATCTGTGGCACTGCAGTTGGTCCTTTCAGAAACATTTGCATTCCTCATGCGTGGGACCAGCCGATGTCTCACTTCCACCTAAAATCATGGTCCCAGTGAAGCTGGAGTTTCCCAGATTTAGGCACATTCGGAGAGAAAGTACCACTGTGGGACTCCACTTACCTGCAAACCTGTATTCAGCAGAATGAGGTTAATGGCAGGCCGGGCGGTAAAAAACTCCACAGGTCATTGCAGCAGGGACATAATGTCAGCTCTGTTTACTTCTAGTCAGCTTAGTACAGAAATACCCCTCCCAAAATGGCCCAGTCTGGCTCTCTGACTGGGCTTTTGAACCACAGCTAGTGTATGGAGTTAGTAAAGGTCCCAGTGTAGCTTCAAAATTTATTTCTCAACTAAAGCTATTGTATTTCCCCCCTCCTCCCTCCATGCACAACATTTCAAAACAAAGGCAGGACTCCCAAAAATGATGATCACCTTGCTGGGAACCCAAAGATAGAAAGACACAGAGAAAAAAAAACAAAAAAACTAATTGGTCCAATGTAGACATTTTCACTTAGAAATTGCAAGTAAATTTCACAAATAATTAGACAGTAATTATGTATTATGTAAGTAACACATAATTAAATGTAAAATTTTGAAATAGAAAAACTGAAATTGTATTTTCTTGTAAAACTCCAATAAATCTTTGTTTTATTTACAACTTCACTGTGTGAGAATAAAACTCTATATAACATAAAAATGTAGGTTTGGTTGTCAATAGGATTATTATGCTATTCGCCGATTTATTTTTTTTCAATAAATGACAAAATTTGACCTTTAGAAAGCAGA